CGGGAGCAAAACGGAGAAAGAGGAAATTCAAACCATCTCTTCCATTGATCATAATGGGCAATGTGAGATCACTGGCCAACAAGATGGAGGAACTCCAAGCCCTTTCAAGGACTCAGCCAGAGTGTCGGCAGTTTCGGAACCGCTGGAGGAGATGACGCAAAGAAGGATTCTCCAGAGAATCAAGAAAATGATGGACAACCCTGAGCATTCTCTTCACAAGACTGTCCCACAACGGAAGAGGGGCAGCAGTAGCTCAACGGGTTGAGCGGGTTGTCCAGTAATCGGAAGGTTGCAGGTTCAATCCTGGCTCCAGACAGAGAATTCTGCTGTTGTGTCCTTGGGCAAGACACTTAACCCACCTTGCCTGCTGGTAGTGGTCGGGGGGTCCGGTGGCGCCTGCGCTCGGCAGCCTCGCCTCCGTCAGTGCGCCCCAGAGCAGCTGTGGCTACATCGTAGCTCATCACCATCCGTGTGTGAATGTGTGTGTGAATGGATGAATGATACACTGTAGTGTAAAGCACTTTGGAGTCCTTACTCTGAGAGGCGCTACACAAGTACGGGTCATTTATCATTTATCATTATCTTCAGTCAGAGGCTTCTTCAGTTTGGCTGCAACACTAGCTGCGTTTTCATGTGGCAAATTTCCTCAATCCGATTGAAATCTTGGTTGATCGGAATTTCCGAATCTCTGTTCACATGGACACGAACTGAAATGATCCGATCATGCCGTGCGTACATATGCACCAAGCATTTAATCCGATTAAATAGGTTGAGCATGCGCAGAGTTGCCTTTCACGAAAGAAAAATTGTAAACAAACGCCATGAAACGAAAAGAAAAATGTAAAAACAGAAATAACTATTCTTCCTGCTTTCCTGATCCATTTATTCAATTTAATATTTTTATTTAGCTCATAGAAGTTACGTTTTCTTCAGTGAATAACTGCAGATATATGCTTTGCTGCATTTTATTGTTGATTAAAATAAGGGAGGGTTATGTCTGCCTCTTGATCAGCTGGTCCGCAGGTCTGAATTGACAGCTGTTGCGCTGCGCTGCGCCACAGAGCGGGGGTGGGGGGGTTAGCCTCATGTTTTATTACTGAGCTCTGTTGTGGCTTATTATTAATAACATGTGACGATCAGCTGAAACTGTTGAGAAAAATCTGTTCAAACAAAATAACAGAAGATGTTCAGAAAGTTTAGAAGCCTGTGTTCATCATTAACGAACCGCATCTCAGGTCATCTGCGTTTACGTGCTTTTAACGAACACGGACTTTACTGTCGTCCAGAGTATTTAACCGAGGACGTTTTCCTACCCAGCATCAGCCTCCAATCAGGTCTGTAAAACCCAGATTATCCTGTGTTCTTTACAAGCGTGTCTCCATCACCTGCTGCAGAAGCTGCTGTGTTCAAAGCTGACAGAAACGGGGATCCGTGCGCTGCAACCCCCACGATAAACCCGCGTATTTCCAGTACAGATTTGAACATCTTTGTCGAATGATTTGTGCAATAATCAGATTTTTATTTTACTTCCACAAAATGCAAGTTCTGAATTAAATATTACTGAAACGGGACGGCTTGTCGTCGGATTTAAAAGCCGCCGCTCGTTAATTACACCGTCATTTTTGAAGTCAGGCAGTCCAAATGACAGCGGAGAGGCCCGCTGGCTGTTGCACACATGCGCAGTGGGCATTGTTTTACCCCAACAATCCGAATGGCTGTGTACATGCACGTCAATCGGAATGAAGAACGGAATAAACCACCTCTCTCAATCGGATTGAAATTTCAATCCGATCGGGCCGAATCTGATCAGAATATTCTGATTGACATGTTTACATGCAGAATTTTCAATCTGAATGGGCATTCAATCTGATTAAATATGCGCATGTAAACGTGGCTACTGACCGCTACTGGAGATCCTTCCTGCCTACAACACCTCTTTGATGACTTGATTATTATTATTATTCTGAGCTACTACAGCAATCAGTTTCCCTCTGGGATTAATAAAGTATTTTTGAATTTAATTGATTCTTCCTACTCCATTTAAAGTTTGCAGAAGTGCAGCATCAAGATGTTGAAATATGTCTTATTTTAATGTTCTCTGTTGTTGTTTTTCAAAACTATTATTTTATTTTATTTTGTTGTTTGACATCATTGTATTTTTTTCTTTTAACATATTGAAATAAACGATTGATTGATATTTTAAATATCTGTTAAAATGGTGATATAACTTTGATTTGGTAACTTTTGAATTCCATTTAAAAAATGTTTAATCAGTCAGAAAATCAGTTTCTGAGATGGGCTTTTATTTTGAAAACAGTGGCCTGACTTTTTACCGTAAAGCTGGGAACGAGTGCGCCTAGCCAAAGTGGGAGAGGGCTCACTTCACCGTGAATCGGCGGGTGGAGGCTGGCTTTACCACAGAAGGTGTTGTAGAAATATGGCCATTTACCTTTTGTGGTCCTAACAAGGTGACCCAGAGGGATGTTCCTCCCTGTCTGGTACCCAGCAGAATGTTACTGGGGTTTGTCAGCTCTAATAATAGACTGGATCGGGTTCTAGAAGTTCTGCAGGAGGGCCGGAGCTCCATTCTGTCATGACGGTGTGTTTTAGGATTGTTTTTACTCCTTCATCCCTGCCGTGCTTCTGGTTCTGGGAGGAGTCTCTGAAGGTTGGAGAAGCTCTCAAATCTTTTGGGTTTTGGGATGTTGATGATTACAGAATTGTTAGTTCTGTTCAGTTCAGCCCTGTTGACCTGATATTGTCCATGCAGCGGTACTGCCAATGTGGCGCCCCCTTCGCCTCCCTGTCTTCTGCTGCTCCTGTAAGGAGATCAGTGCAGGGGAGGAGGTTTGGTTCTGATTCAGTCTGATTTTGGTTCAGGTCCAATCTGGTTTGTTTAGGAGGAGGTTCTTCCTCTGGAGGAGTCTGGTAAGGTTCTGACTCGGTTTGATGTGGTGCTGTTGTCTGAATGTTTGACTTTTATTGTACATTTAAACTTCCTGTTGCTGATTTTCAAAGTAAACTTCCAGTAAGGAGATGAAATAGACTAAATCAATCAGAGTGAGCACGTCCATGAGCCTGATCCTCAGCCACAGACATCAGTTCAGCCTGCTCAAGTCCCTGATCCAGGAACATGACCTACGATGTTCGCAGTCAGAACTCTGAACCTGATAACTGGGTTAGTGCTCATGGGTTTCATTAGCTGTTTAACAGGACATGATGTGTCTGCACACACACACACACACACACACACACACACGTTCAAGGTAATGTTTGCTCTGAACTCTTCTTTTTAACCTTTACTGTGACACAAAACTAACAGCTGTTATATTTAACTTTAGACATTTAAAACCTCCAACAGCTGATCTCTCTCACTCTAAATGTCGTCACCCCCCCCCCCCCCCACTTACCTTTTTGATTCCTCCTTCCATGTTTTATCGTTTTCGCCAGCTGCTGTCAGCGTTTCAGGAGAAACATTCCCTGCTACACGTTTCACAGGTTGAGACCTTAATAAAATCTGCACAGACATCTTCACCGCTCTTTTCTCCACAGGTGATTTTAGAAGAAACAAGAACTTTGTTATGTTTGTTCTGAGCAAATCAAGCTTGTTTTTACTCTTGCTGGCATGTTTCTGGGTCCACTGATCTGTGTAATAAAGAACCACAAAAAGGAAAACAAGAACTCCTTCCTGTTTTCCTGCAGGAATTTGATTGGGAAGACAAGCTGTTAGCTCAGACTCTCTGTTAGCTCAGACTCGCTGTTAGCTCAGACTCGCTGTTAGCTCAGACAAGCTGTTAGCTCAGACTCGCTATTAGCTCAGACAAGCTGTTAGCTCAGACTCGCTGTTAGCTCAGACTCGCTGTTAGCTCAGACTCGCTGTTAGCTCTGACTAGCTGTTAGCTCTGACTAGTTGCTAGCCCTGATTTAGCTGCCAACTCTGACTAGCCATTTTTATGAGTCACTTAAAGACCAATTTCTATTGTTTGGCTTTTATGTAATATGGTTTATGACCCTAATGTCCTGTGTTTTCAGTCCTTTTATTTAGGGATGCACCGAAATGAAAATTTTGTCCGAAACATGGAAAGAAACAATCATGTCAGTAATTAGGACCATCGCATTTATGGCTATGATGGATACCAACCTCTCAAGTCAAGTCAATGCAGTAAATTAATTACAAAACCAATAAAATCCTCATTTAGCATTGACATAACAACAATGCATTATATGAATTAAAACTCAAAAAATTATGTTTCACTTGACGACAGTCGTGCACATTAATTAACCATAAATTACGAATAAAAAGCGTATTTATAATTGTACAGGCTTATAACTGAAGGGCCCGCTGAGGACTGTAAAATGAACCCTTTAAGCACTAAAGTTGCAATATTGTGTTTAACGAGCAACAGCTGCAAACATAATCCCTCATGAAGTCAGGACTTTACACCAGAAGATAGTGGAGATGTGTAAGTTTAACATGAGCAACACTTTCGGGTGTTTCTTTTGAAGTTTTAGGAGGTTATGATTTTCATGAAGCACACAGCAAGCTGCCACGTGAGGGCGGAGCGCGATGAAACCTTAACGGGGTTCACCTGGCGGCCTGCTTTGGCCGTGTTGTTTAGGTGATTTAGGTTTTTCGGCCGAAAAACACGCTTTTGGGTCATTTTCAGCGAAAATCTTCGACGGACAATTTTTCGGTGCATCCCTACTTTTAATTGAGTGTTTTGTCGTGCTGTTTTTGGTGTGTTCTCTTCAGACTCTTGGGCTCGTGCAAAGGTAGTGGAAGGTGCTATATAAATACAATTTAATTGATTGATTAGCTCTTACCAGCTGCTAGCTCTCACTAGCTGTTAGCTCTGACTAGCTGTTAGCTCTGGCTAGCCTTAAGCTAGGACTAGCTTTATATCCAACTGCTATAATCTCTGTCCACTCCCTCGCAGAAGAGCTCAGATTAGTAGTAATACACTTTATAGAGGAGTAACAATCCATGTTCATCTTCTCAGAGGGGAAGACATCACCGGTGGACAACAAGAATGGGAAGACGACAGAAGGAGGGGCAAGAGGAGGTCCAAAGTACTCCATGTTCACCTGGATTGTGGTTGTGGCTCTGCTGGGGGTCTGGAGTTCGATGGCAGTGGTCTACTTCAACATCGTAGACTACGACAGCGTCATTGGTGCGTTGGTAGATTTGATCTGATTACTGATTTAAACCTTGTTAGGAGGAACTTGTCTGGTGTTTCTGAACTTTGATCTCTGTCTTCACCCCTGCTCCTCTTCCTCCTCTCTTTCTGCATGCAGCGAGAGCTCAGGAGTTTCGTATGAACTTTTCTCACGTTTTACAAGGTATGATCACCATCCAGACTCCCCTTGCTGCTGTTGTGCTTCAGACAGTAGGGTGAAATAAAGAAGCTCTAGCAGAAGCTGTTTCAGCCTTGGCTTCAGTTACAGCTTCCTGGAGAGTGATGATGATGGACTTGTAGCTAAACCCTCAGCAGGTCGGTGCTTATTGGCTGTAGCCTGCGTCTCTCTGAGGAGATGTTTAGTTACAGCAGGAGACCAGAAGTCTGACTGAGGAACTTGAGTCTGGTTCCTGTTCCTGGGGTAGGTTTGTGGTTCTCACTCATCTGCTGTGTGACTGACACCAGGGTCGCAGTCACCACATCCTCCCTCTGCTGCATCTCTCACACGTTCTGTCTTGATTCGTGCTCACTGTCACATTTTCAGAGTCCAGAACCCCTGATCCAGTCCAGAACCCCTGATCCAGTCCAGAACCCCTGATCCAGTCCAGAACCCCTGATCCAGTCCTCAACCCCTGATCCAGTCCTCAACCCCTGATCCAGTCCAGAACCCCTGATCCAGTCCAGAACCCCTGATCCAGTCCTCAACCCCTTCCTTGCTGCAACCAGACTTCCTGTAATCCTTTGAACTGGTTCTGGATCAGCTGCTCTTCAGTCTGAAGGACTTCTTCTTTGGACATTTGGTACCAGAACACCTTCACTTTGTATCTTGGACTCTGGCCTCTAAGTCAGGGTTTCCCAACCCGGGCCCTCAGGGACCAGTGTCCTACAAGTTTTCCATGTCTCTGCTTCAGCACACCTGATTTACATTGGCTCCTCGGAAGGACATCAAGGGTTGCAGCTGCCTGTTAATCACTTGTTCATCTAAGTCGGGTGTGTGGCAGCAGAGCACTGGTGTGAAAGGGCAACATGGAGAAGATGCAGGACAGTGGTCCCTGAGGACCAGGGTTGGGAAACACTGCTCTAAATCACTCCGGCACAAAACGGTTTCTAGTTAACGGCATGAGCCAGAGTTGAGTTGACGCAGAACTGAGCCAGTTTCACGGGGTTGTCGGGTTCAGTCCCTGCTGATTCCTAGCCCTAGTTTTGGGGCTGTTGCTAAGCAACACGTTTAGACCCCTCCATACCCCGTGAAGCGCTTTTACGTGGCCACTCCTTCGTTGCCGGGGTGTTGTGGTTCAGCCATGCTTCATCTTTAATACTCTCATTCATGGATGGAGGTTTGGGCCCAAAATCTTACGAATCATGACCCCATTCACCCTTTCCTTATTACGAGTCAGTCTGTCACTTTGCAGAAAAGCAGCCCGAAGCATGATGTTTCCATCCCCGTGCTTCACAGGGGGTATGATGTTCCTGGGATGCGTCTCCGTGTTTTTCCCTTCCAAACACGGTGAGTGGCATTAGTACCATTTTGGTTTTGTCTGACCACATGACATCCTCCCAGTCCTGGATCATCCAGGAGGTCTTTGGCGAACATCAGACAGGTGGGAACGTGCTGGCTGAAGCAGAAGGATCTTTGGAGCACTAGGATTTGAATCCATGACTACGTAGTGCGTTACTGTGGTCCCAGCTCTCTTCAGGTCATTCACTACTTCCCCCATGTAGTTCTGGGCTGTTTCCTCACCATTCTCAAGATCATGTGTACCCCACTGAGTGAGATCTTGTATGGAGCTCCAGGTCACCTGATCAGCCTGTTACTCACATGCTATTAATATGAAGCGTGTTGAGGCAGAGAAACGACTAAAACATGCTGGACATGGGCCTGGAGGACTGGAGTCAGAGACCCTGCTCTAGGGCATCCAAACGGTCTGGAGCAATTACTTTTCCACAAGCTCACCTGGACAACTTTGTTTTTGTGCGGTGCCGGACGACGACATCGTCTTATTGCAGTCGAATGAACTGCTCATTATACCTTAATATTGGTTTGTGGCCGCAGCACTGGTGTTACACCACATCCATGTTTTCTGGGATGCACCTGTAGTTATGATGATGTTTCAGTCACCGTCCTTCAGATAAACAAATCCATCGAGTGTATCACGCTTAAGGCCGATTTCTACGTCTCCGTCTGCGTCGCTTCAGACACCCAGCCCATTTGGCTTCGGTGCAGGTGTTCTCCAGCGGGCTCACAGCGGCGCTAACGGAGACATGCCCAACTTTTAAACTATCCGTAGAAAAAGACCTCTAGCTTGTGATTGGTCAGGAATCCACTTCCTTTAAAGTCAGCAACAGCACCACCACTGCCCCGTCTAAAAAAGATATTTAGCGGCAGACACGGAAGAGGTTGAAGAGCGCCTCACGGGAATGTCTGAAAAGTGAACGTTTTTTTTTCACCCGTGACTAAGGAGTACAAGGATACAGAGCAACAGTTTTACTTGTGGACGGAAATGACGGTTGCACGAAGAGGTGGAGGAGATTTTAGCCCGTGTTAAAGTCTCTAAAATATGTTAAAACTATGTAAACAATAGTGAATACACGGTCTTGTACCAGACACGTGACCAAGGGTGGCCTGGCCTGCCAGACTCGTCTACACAGGACGAGTCTGGTAGCTCGCAGGCAGAGAGTCACGTGAGGGGCGGAACTAGCCAGCTCAAAATGAGCCAATCAGAGAAAGGTCGTTAACGCGGACTGTACTGTGCAACGCTGTAAGTTTTTAGCTGTAGTCAAAAATGGCGTCTGGCGACGGCGCAAACATCGTTCTTTAGAAGAAAGGCTTTTAGCGCTTCTACTAGTGGTTTTAGAGATGGGTCCAAGTCATTTAGACCAGAGGAAAGAGCCGCAGCCAACTCCACTTCAGACGCCATGTTTATGGCAAACTGAGCGTCGCGTTGTGTGACTTACGCTGCTCGGTTAGAATTCTCCGGGGGCGGGGCTATTGGATAGGAGAGTTCCCAGCCCCATGCTTCCCATAAGGATGCTGGAATGGTGGCAGGATACCCCAGAACAGCACTACGCCCTCTGTTGTCCTGGCAGGGAGCTTTACAACGCTCCTCAGGCAGCGGAGAAGTCTGAAGGTAAAACACCTCCAGTGCACGTGTGCGACTCCACGCTGGAGCAGACGGAGATGTAAAACTCACAAGAAAGGAAGTTAACTCGAGGTGTATTCAGTAAAAACCGCCTTCTCCTTCTCCAGGTAAACTGGCAGCCTATGACACCGACGGAGACGGAGACTTTGATGTTGATGATGCCAAAGCTCTGCTCGGCAAGTCCATTTTGATTTTCCTCCTTACTTCCTGTTGTTTTGCCCGTTTTTCCTCGAAAGCCAGAAGTCAGCTCCTTTTGAACAAAGTGTGAAAAGTCTCCAAACATCCTCAGAAAAAACGTCGTAGCACTGGGCCTCGGCTCGCCTCCCCGTCGGGAGTCCGCTCAGGAAACTACGGCACTGCCTTCCTTTGGACTTACGGTAGAGGAGGGTTAACCAGTCCGGTGTAGCACCTGGACAACGTGTGTGTGTGTGTGTGTGTGCGTGCGTGCGTGCGTGTGTGTGTGTGTGCGTGCGTGTGCGCGTGCACGACACAGCTCCATGAAGCTTGGTTTATGCTTGACGCATTCACTTTCCGCTTGGTGATGCGGCTCGTGGATGGAACGTGCTTCACGACTTGCAGCGTTTAAGTCACCGCGTCTCGTTATCGGCGCTATTTAAACCAATGTTGTAAAATGACTTCTGCCCAGCCCAGATGTGCTCACTTGTGCACCCGTGAGCCGTGGTTCAGCCGGAACGCGTCTGACCTCTGACAGACGCACTCTGAACTTCAGATCTTCAGCGCGTGTGAGGTTTACAACGTCAGAACACCTGCATGAGACAGGTGTTCATTACAATCTGCCAGAATGACTCGCCACCTTCAAACTTCTCCAACACCGTTAAAAATGATCAAATACGGAACATATCGGCGTGCGCAGGCCAGAGTGCTGAAGCTCGGCGCATTGTTATTATGAAGCTAGGGCACATGCGGAGGACACACACACACACACACACACAAAAATATACTTGTTTTCAGTTACATTTATTGGGCCCACTTACTTTTTCTTTGGCCCACCCACAAATGAGTTTCTGGCTACGCTAATGGTGACATATGACAGACTTCTCTGAGCTCCGCAGCCATTACACTTTTCACCTCACGCACCCCCTAGCGGCAGCTCTCGCACCCCCGGGGGTGCGCGCACCACACTTTGGGAATCCCTGATCTAGAGGAACATCTCTGTCCCACATCTGATCAGCCCATTGAATCAATAGGAAGTTGAGTCACAGCTGGAGGCGTTGCATCTCTGCAGCGTCCAGCAGCTGATGGGTCACCTGACGAGTCTTAGTTTGAGAGAAAATGTTGATTTGATGTTGATGGATCATCTCTAACTCCCTGTCTTTCTCTGCTCATGTATCATCTTTGATTTTGTTTCCTGCTTTTGTTGTGGCCATCCTTCCATCTTTTCTTTATTTCCTGTTCTTCATCATGTACTTCTGAACCCTCCTCCTCCTCCTCCATCCTGGTTTTCTCCCTCCATGTTTTTCTCTCTTCCTCTCTCTCGTCAGGCTTGACCAAAGATGGCGCTGGTGCTGCCAATGCTGAGTCGCTTGAAGAGGTTCTAAATATTTTAGCAGAGGAGGGTTCTGATTGGATCTATGGCTTCTTCGCCTTCCTGTATGATGTAGTTTCTCCACCCGTAGAGCAAGGCGAGGAGGAGGAGGGGGAAGCAGCTGGAACCTCTTCAAATGATGTGGAGGTTAAAGGGGTCATACTGGACCTTCAGAACCAGTAGGCAGTCTGGTTCTCATACAGAACCAGACTGAAACCGGTCCAGTTGGGAAGGATGGAGAAGTGTCTGAAGATCTGGTTTCCACCGCAGAACCAAACCGGTTCTAACGCGTTCTGTTGGAGAAAAACCGGAACAACATTTGTACTTCGATGAAAACGTTTAATTGTGTAAACATTTCCTTTGATCCTGTTTTGATGTGTCCATCAAACAGGTGTGTAAACAGGAAGTCGAGTTTATTTCAGTAAAAGCTCACGCTCGGTGTGGTTACACCCAAGTGCAGCTACGGCAGTAACCGAGCTGAAACCTTAAGCAGAGGGGGGTCCTCGTCCTAGATTACATGTTCTACGATGGCTGAAGGAATGGACAGCTGATACAGAACAAAGGTAACAAAGGTGTAACTTTGTGGAGACGATATTATCAGAAGATCGCTTCCAGTGTCCCGTCCGTCCCAGGAGGGGACGTGCCAGGCGTGTCATAGCTCATCTAAGCTAGGATGTCATCCGTAAGTTGGATCTGGATTAAGAGTTGTCTAGTTGGGTTTGACTTCAGCTGGACTACAGCAATAACTACGTTTTCTGACTCTGCATGCAGATGCACTGAGTGACCCCTCCCAGCACAGACGTAGATGCCCCGTGGACTGTCGCTTCCTGTTAGAGCTGCCGTAGTGGCTGGCCGCCATCTTAGCTGGGTCTCCATTCGCCCCCAGTGCATTCATTTCTACAGAGGAAGGGGCTTGCCCAACTTAAAACATATTTTATCAAGATTTTTCACAAAATCCGTTTTAATGGCATGGCAGGATTACCATACTGACCCGAGTATAGGACCACCCCGGTTGTAAGACGACCCCTCTCCGAGACCACTCTTCAGGAAAAGACAAAAAAAAATCACTTTTTATCAATAAACTATTTTCATTGAAATTTTGAGAACAAATACTGAGCAAAAACGCTATTTTAATGTAAACTATCAGAACTTTGCTGACGTGTGAAATCAAAAGTCAAAAGAGGCTTTTATTCAGACGCCCTCTGCCTCGCTGTACTCACTCATGCTGCTGCGGTCCCGGTGGACCATCAGACCGCTACGCCTGCTGGCTCCTCCCACAACGCCATCCTCACTGCCATCCAACACATCCATGCATGCACTGTTTGACGCCTCTGCTGACTGGACCACCGTCATCTTAAAACTCGCGTAACTCTGCCTCAGTGGCGGCTCCTGAGAAAAATCTCAGCGGGGCGATACATGACGGCAAAGCCTACCTGTTAACTAAACTTTAATTTCCTCATATGGCTCTACAACCCTATTATCTAAGTCAGCCTGTAGTTTTTCTAAGCAATGTGATTATTTTGGCCCTTCAGCAAGTGAATACTCAAATATTACAGTAAAGTAAGTAAATCAGAAAGTATTACCTTAAGCGTAAAACAGCAACCAAATTCAAGGTAAAAAAATGTTTAATGCTGTGATGCAATAGTCCTATTTAGATCAAATATGAAAACTAATAAACAATGTATCATGAATACAGAGATCCGTGTGTGTGTGGGTGCGTGCGTGCATGGGCCGGACTGAGCTTCCAGCAGCAGAGTTTTGTGTGTAGGAAGGGGCGGGTGCTCCATGTGACTGGCCAATCACAGAGCACGAAGACAGTCAGTTACCCAATGAGAATTTTTCTTCAGCACGATTACACATATTTACGAGTTTTACTCGTTTCATGCTCGTATTTGTCAAAAATGCTTTATCCGTACCGGATACTGGTCTGAAACGAGTATCCGGCTCATCCCTAGCTGTAACCACCCTGCCTCCCCCTCCTTGCTGCCCGCCAGCTGTGAACACAAGCAACAACAGAGTAGTTCCCGCTGCTTCTTCAGGAAACAGCACAAAAAAATAAATCTATAAAACGGGATCTTGTAGGCGTGGGGCTGGGATCTCAGCCGTGGCAAGCCATGGAGGATTCTCCCACTGAGACCCCTCCCATGTAGGCTCCTCCCACCTAGACCACTCCCACATGGACCCGTCCCACGTAGACTCTTCTCACTCCACACTGATCCACAAACATGAAAATGTGTCATTGTCTTTATCAAAGATGAAAATGAATGTTTGATGATTTTATTGAGTTTTTCTGTTAGAAATTAGATGATTTATAATAAGTGTTTGCACCACCTTTAATATAATCTTGTGTCTTTCTCGTTAAACTAAACTATAATCAGCTGTGTTCGGGTTTAGTTGCCATGTGTGGAGCATCTAGATTCAAGACTCACTACCTTTTATGGGGCGACGGTGGCACAGGAGTTAGGTGCTCGCATCATAATCGGAAGTTTGCAGGATCGAGCCCCGCTCAGTTTGTCGCTGTCTTTGGGCACTTCAAATCAAATCAAATCACTTTTATTGTCACGTCACATGTGCAGATACACTGGTACAGTACGTGCGAGTGAAATTCTTGTGTGTGAGCTTCACAGCAACAGAGTTGTGCTAAAATACAGTAACGTAAAAACAAGCAAAATATAAAAATGGCTAATCTAAGTAATAATATGTATAGTATGTAAGGTATATACATTACTGAATGTGTGTACTATGTTTTTCTACGTGTGTGTGTGTGAGTGTGTGTATAGTGTGTATATTCATGTTTTACAAATGAATAAAGTACAAATTTGCACCAAAGGGAGTGGCGCTCCAATTTCACTGTATCTTGTATGACAATAAAGGCTATTCTATTCTATTCTATTCTATTCTATTCTATTCTAAAACCTTCTGTCCCATTACTGAATACAAGGTGTGGGTCACTAAAGTAATAAAACATGACAGTTGATGAGGCCTGTGTGTTACATTCACACAATTAAAACGAGTTTTTAACACGTCTGGCTTTATAGTATCAGCTGTTAGTTTAGGATTATCAGCTGTGTGTGTGCGTGCGCACGTGTGTGTGTGTTCCTTTAACCTGGAGGGCAGCGTTCTGGTTTTAACATGGTGTGCTGTGTTGGTTTGGTTTCAGCGTGCTGAGTTTAAACTTTACCGTACCGTTTATCCTCCGCTAATCAATAAAACTAACAGATTAAGTAAATGTTATTTATACAGCACTTATCACAGAGATAGAACCACAAAGTGCTTCACATAGATCAAAACAAAATAAAACCAAGTCATAAAATCATAAATAGATTAACATCAGAGAAAAAGTCATTAGATTCATAAACAGCTGAAAGATTAAAAATTTGAGTTAAAAATAAGAAAATGAAAGGTTTAGGTAAAAGCAGCTTTAAATAAAAGGGTCTGTAGCTGTTTTTTAAAGGTGTCCAGACTGTCGACGCTGCGTAAGGATAAAGGAAGATCATTCCAGAGTCTGGAAGGAGCGATCACCTCCACTTTTGTGTCTGGTCTCTGGAACTTCTAGAAGGTTCTGGTGGGTGGACCTGAGGGCTCGGGTTTGAGCATAAGGCTTTAACAGGTCAGTGATATAGGGAGGAG